ACTTGCTTAAACCTAACAAACATTTTGGCCAACCCAATATGTATAGAATTTATCAAAAGTAGCTAAACTATATTAAACAATATAAGCTACATAATTCCAGTTAGCCATATCTTATTTTTATATGGGACTTTCAAGTTTTTACACTGCTTTACCATACATTATTTTGGTCGTTCCTCACAGTGATACTATGAAATTGTTTTGGGCAATTTTATTCTCCCTGATACACAGAAGAAACTAGCCTAAACAGTTACTTTAAGTTAAGTGGCTTGTCCAAAACCATTTGGTTAGCAGTCTAGATTGGAGTCTAATTTAGAAGCTGGGAGTATTTGCCATTTCCTCTTTAAATATTTTCCCAATCTGTTATTTAGCTTCTTAATTCAATTCTTTCAGTTGATCTTTGCAAAATCTTTATTGGATCCTATCATTCACTTGATTAAACCTTGGTAATGATTTATTGTTTGACTCTGGATACAATCCCACATCCTTAATGTGGCTTTAATGGTGCCCATGGCCTCGCTTTTGTACTCTCATCTTTGTCATATCTCCCATCCCCTTGCTCGCCAGGCTTCCAGCACACTGGTCTCTTTGTTCTTCACACATGTGAGTAAAAACTTCCTGCTCGCTATTCACCTCGCCTGGAGTGCTGGGCCCTTCTCTTCATCTGGTAACTCCTAATCACCATAGAGGTCTCAGTTTCAACGTTAATTTCTCAGAGATACCTTCACATAACCCACCAAATAGAATCAGTTCCTCTTGGTGTCATCTCTGAGCAAACCCTTAATTACCTATCAGCTTATACTGATATATTTATCTCTGTGAGTTTGTTTAATTCCTGCCCTCTCCCCTTATGTGTAGATCTACTGCAATCAGAAACCATGTCTATTTGGCTCATTGCTGGTCTCCTTCTCTGGTCTAGTTTCTGGCATGTAGTCGCTGTTCAGTAAACAATTGTGGTCTGAGCAAAAGAATAAATGCATGTGGGTGTATACATAGCTCTGTTGCTAAGCAGAACTTTCTATTAAATTAGAAAATAATGTCAAGCCAGTAGATTTTTTCTCTATTTCCTGGGAACAGATGGATAGAAGTGGCTTTTTGATACTCGAAACAATTTAAGCAATTGGAAAATTGTCAGGAGAGGGTTTAGAAAAGATCGAATGGATTACCTAGGGAGACTGTCGAGTCTCCTCTGGAGGTTTAACCAGGGAGTAATAATTAAATTTAAGGAAGTTTAAGGTATATATGAAGGCTGTGAGATATAGAGAAGCTCTTTTGGGATATCAAAAACTTGGACTTAATATACCTTCCTTTTGCTTTTATGTTTGGTTCTTTGTCAAAGGCCCAACTCTTTGCTTATGCCCCAGTCGGGAAAGGACCTTAGAATTCTAGGCTCCCTTCAGATTTCTTTGTCTCCAGCGTGATGTATAGTCAGCTCTGCTGTAACATGATATACCTGTTCCTAAAGATCACTGCTCAGGGCTTGTAAGTAAGTGAAATTTTTCAGTGACACATTAAAAAAAGATAGGAATCTGGTAAAAAGGGCAATTAAGTTTTATATGTGTTAGATGACTAAGAAATGCCGAAGTAATATGTTAAATATGGCACTTTACCCTGAAAGAGGCATGTAGTTTACTTGTAGAAGTGTCCATTGGCAGCTTAAGTTACTGGGAAGCAGCAGAAGGAAAATTGTAATGGGAGGATAAAGTGTACTTCCATCTGCAGATGGCGGTAGCTCATCCCATTCAGGGAGGACTGAGAGCGCTGGTGGGTCTCTGAGGTGTGTGTGATTTGTGTGTTTCTGTGCTAGGTTCAGAGGGATGCAGTTTTCTGTGTTGACTCATGTTTCTCGTGAATAAAATAGGGCACAAGCAAATGTGAGATTACTGTGTCATGCTCAGATTTCCCCTGATATAGTAACTGCATTGGAATAAATTTGCACCTTTAAAATAAAAGTTATAACTGAACTGATCATAGTAAGAAAACAAAAAGTTTTTAGAGTCTGGAAAACTGGGCTCTGGTTCTGAGGACTAGATATAGTAATGATGGTGAGAATATTTTGCAAACTGTAATGTGCTCTTTGAATTAAAAATTTTCGTACAGAACTTATGTCAGAGTTAGAGACAGAAGCTATGGAAGAACAGAGGGTTCAAAGTTCACCCACTTGAAGTCAGTTTTTGTTGAGAAAAATATGCAAACTTTCTTTTGAGTGAGAGTAAGTGAAGTCTATGTCACTAAGGGGAAGGGAGAGAAGGAAGCTGGCAAACTTTCCTGTGAGCATGTGTTTAATGTCACTTCTTAGACTCAGCCCTGGGGCCAGTGTTTGTGTCCCTGAGGTGGCAATTTAGGTGCGATGACAAGAAAATCCTAGGAGGAGAAATGGAAGAGGTGATCTTGTTAAATGAAACTGAGAGAAATACAAATACGAGGCCCAATGAGTTTTGAAAAATAATCTTAGAGCTCTCTTATGATAACTTATTAAAACCAGCCCAGCCCATAGATGTTGCTGGAAAGAGTGATGTTGCCACAGAAATTTGGTAACCCAGATTTCATGACAATGTCTTTACTTACTGCTCTTCTTACTAGTGGCACTATGTAAATAACACCCAACCATTCTCCATCTCTCAAGCCCCTTTAGTCTCCCTGCTGGAAAAGATGCAGAGCAAACCTACGGGAGCAAATCAAAATTGTTTTGAGGATAAGCTAGTATATGCCCAGGATAGAGCTAACAACAAAAAAGAAAAACGTCTGGCCAATCCATTGATACATTCTTCTTGCTACTGTTAGCCATATTTTATAATTTAAGTAAGATATTTTTTTCCAGATTTAGAAAGTAGGTGTGGCTTGTCGAGCTTTAATGGTTTAACTGAAATATATACCATTTGAAGAAAATATATTTTAGTAAATAATTTTTTCCTTCATTATTCTTAGAATTCCCTGGAACTTTTTCTGTATTGTAAGGGTATCATCTATTCATACTTGAAAAGGCGTTAACAACTTGACAGGAAGATTATCCATATGAAAAACCTCCTGTATGAGATCTTGGGGGTTCTTCAATATAATAATGAGTGAATCTATAACATTCTTTACTTTTGAGTGAAGGAGTAATGCCATTTTCTCTGTAAAACTTCACATCCTTCATAGGATATACTTCTAAACATACACCATTTTTTATTGCCTGTTTCTGGAAGCAAAACGCAATCTTCCAAATTCTATAATACAGGAGATTTACTCATGTTCCTTTTAGTCCAATGAGTCTATACAGAGAGTAATGTTGATTATGTATGATAATGAGTGAAGAGTTTATATTTTAATTTATTTTTATTTTGGTTAAGTATACATAAATATAAAATTTGCCATTTTAATTCTTTCTACAGGGCTTTGATGTTAATTAGTACATTCCCCTTCCATTGCCATGTTTTTCCTCCTTTCCAAAGCTGCTGGAAAATGACAGAATATGGATTTGATTTTGATTTAACTTTTTCTAATTCCAGTAGAAGTAACAGATTGTGGGAGTCAAATATGGACCATTGAAAAGTTAAGGACATAGAAGTTAAAACCCTTACTTAGCAAAAGGCCAGCTCCATAATCAATAAGCAGATATTTCTAGTGCTACTATGCATTGGGTAATATGTTAAATAAAAAATACATATGCATAGTTGATGTAGTTCTAACCTCAAGCAACTGTTCATCCAGTTGGAGAATTACAGTAAATATTTATGAAAAATAATAATAGAAAAAATAAATGAGGACCTAATGGGTGTTACAAATTGTAAATGCCATTGAAACTCAGGAATGGGAAAGAACAATGAAGTGATAAGCAAAAGATTCTAGAAGAGATGGCTTAAGCAGGAGAAAAAGCATAGTCAAAGGTGCAGCGGCAAGGGTGTGTGTTTCAGTATTTTTAGAATATCTTCATTTCCAGATTATGACCAAGTGTGTTTTTCATGGTCGTCAGGAGAACCTTTTCCACGTGAGTTAGAGCTGGAGAAAATCCATCTTTGTTAGTACTTCCTGTGAATATACCCCATCCAACGGATACTCTTTCATCCTGGGTAATCCATGGTACAAAGTCACAGTGTCTAATATATTTAAAGACTGAGGTCTCTACTTCCCTTCTTTTCCTTTAAGAATTTAGGTCCCTCATAATCAGGCATTGAGTCTTTGGTTTTCATCAAAGAATATATATTCTATATGCAAAGTGCTTAATTTAGTAACAACAATAACAGCATAACATGCAAAAAAAAAAGCAGTAACAACAACAAAACAAAAACAACATTAGCATGGTTGAGTCCATAGTGTCAGGAGGATCTGATCTTCTGTGCTTTTTACCAGTTTTAGGCATTGATTTTTGCTGAACAATCTATACTGGGTCATCCAGTCCATCTTTTAATTTTTGATGCGCATTTATGAGATGAGCTAGTTTTCTGGGAATATAAATACAGTGGGTGGTTCAGCCTAGTTTTATCTGTGAAAATCTAATTAGACAAAATAAAAACATTCTTCAACCTTATTCTCATGAGTTCCATGGTCTAATAAACTTGAAATTCTTTTCCCTTCTATAAAACACAGTAATGTTCCTTTTAAAGCATATACCAGAGATTGAAGAAATGAAATAATTCTGAACAGGCACTAATGATCTGAGTCATTATTACTTGAATTATTATACATTTGATAGTATTATTGGATCATAGATCTTCATATCTGCACAGGAAGCCACCTGGTTTAGTGGAAATTATTTAAGCATTAGAGTCAAATCAGCCAGGATTGAAAACCTGTTATCTTCTGGTTTTTATGACAAATTACTTAGATGTCTTTAATCCTTGTCTATAATAAGAGATTAATGATAGAACCTACTTCCTGGTGTTTTTAACAAGGACAAAATTAATTAATGTACATATAGAATCCAAATTAGCACTTTGTAACCGACAGCTATTATTAATTATTTTTGTCATAATATTTAAGAAACACCTTCTTAAAAGTCATTTCCTCTGTTCCTTTTATAGCATGAGAAGCTGATACATGAATTGGAAGAGGAGAGACACCTACGTCTTCAGAGTGAGAAGCGGTTGCAGGAAGTAACACTGGAGTCTGAACGCAACCGAATTCAGATGCGTGGACTGCAGCAGCAATTCTCCAGGTATGGTTATGAGCTCAGTTTCTTGCTTCAGAAGGTGCATGTCTCCCTGCACTGATCACACTTTTCCATGAATTTCCATTGTGCAAGCTTCTGTTGAATCTGATTGGCTAATTTCCCAAGAGTTTCAACCTTGTCTTCTGTCCAAGCCATCTTCCTGCAGTTGGACCTTCATTTGCCTCTGAAACTTCATTTGCACCTCACATAGCCTTGGCTTTATTGAACCTGGTTGTCTTTTCTTCCCTAATAGCTTTCCAAAGGGTCTTACAGCAAGATTTGGTGGCTTTGTGGTCTGTTGGCACATCCTATGAAAGGCCAGTCAGGAGGATGAAATTTTTCTGGTCATCATAATCCTATTTTTAAGGTGGCGAGAGAGTGTAAATCTGATCATCCAGTAAGTTCTTACTCATAACTTAGAATAAACATTAAGAAGTAGTTAAAAAAAATCAATGAGCTCCTTTCCTTTAAAAAGATACAACTTGAATTCGAAAGAGGATTCTGAAAAAGTAGCTCTCCTTAGATTTAATTCCGTCACAGTCAGAATCTTTTAGTCTTCAATTATAGTTAATGTAGGGCCAGGTAAAGGTTCCACTTGTTATTTAAAATCTATTCAGTTCTGTGGATTAAACATGAACGTGTGCAATTACAGTCCTAGGACCAGACCTGGGCATCCTGTGAGGGACAGTTTATTTTCACTTCTGTTTTTCACTTCATCATTTATAAAATCAGGAAAACATTTTTTGTTTTTTCTTCTTCTGAGGTTCTCCCAGGCAGAATCAATTTTGAGGAGTTACCCTAAATTTTTTTACAAGCAAACTGTGCAGATCTTACCTTTAATTTACCATTGGGATTAGGGTATTATCCACCAGTGATTCCAATCGGTGTGCCTCAATAATTTAAAAAATATTCAGTACCTGATTATCTATTTAGTCAGGGGCACTGACCTCTTTTCCATTAGATTATTAAATTTAAAAAAAAAAAAAAGGACAACAGCCAACACAATAACAGCTATCCACTGTGAATGAATCCAAATTAGACCTATTTTTTTGGTCAGATCAGTAAAAATATACATATTTTTTGGTGTGCTGCAGAATTTTTGTAATTAGTTTATATGTACCATGTGATGAAAAAGGTTAAAAATTGCTGTGATCGGTGATGGATAATATAGCTTCCTCATTATGAGGCTTTTATAATAATTCTTAATTTTCAGATGTGTTGTGAAAAGAGTACATAGTTGGACCTTTAGATGATTCATCTCATTGTGGCTAATACCACAAATGTGTACAACATTGGCTTAGAGGCTTCTTGGAGGGACAGGGTAAAAAAGATGGATGACTTCTCTGAGTTCAATCATAATTTAACACCCTGTTCCGTTCTTCAAGCCCATGATAATACACAGATGCTATAGAAATGCACTAATCAATATTTTAACAAGTTCATGTCCCACTGCTCACAGGCTATTACTTACACAATCTTATGTTCAATTTTTCATTTGGTTTGATGGCAACTCTCACCTCATAACTCCCAACTTGAACTAATAGATCCCCACTCCAAAGCAACTTTAAAACAAGCACGGCTTTGTAATACTTGCCATTTTAATAATATAAGAAAGGAGGAGGCAAATCTTGCTACCCTTGTACTGCCTAATTAAGACATCTCTATATTCAAGCTATTGATTTTCAGGGTATGGGGCATATGGAACAGCAAGTTATTTTTATATGATTCCAGGTCATCTGCTATAAATGAAATGACAACCCCATAGAGATTTGAGTTGCACAAAAGCTAAGTCTTCATCACAGGCTGAAAGAGAAGATAATTATATGTAAAACAGTGGTGGTTTTACATATGGCTTTTGTGAAGATTTGTTTGCCCCCAGTATGTTTTCTTATGTAAAACTTCACTGAAACTGCAAAGTTCAAGTCTAATTATAGCCAGATAACTAAGGTAAATGAGCAAAAGATAGGGAAAAAACACATATAACGGATAACATTATTATGAAATAATTTAACTAGGCCCACTCAAAAATTTTCTGATTGCCTTTTACATTTTAAACTTTGATTTGTAAGATATTTCTAGTTATGGTAATTTAAACAATTCTGTTACCATAATTTAAGTCTTGTAAAATTCTCAGTATGACAGAGCATGCTTGTAGCACATTACCATTGACATGGGCAGTATCTAAATGCTCACATAAATAATTTATATAATCTAAATTATTGTATTGAATTAAAAAGTTTTATGTTCATGATATTCTCTCCCTTTCTCCTGGATTGAGGACTTTATTTTATAGATGATGATATCTGACATGTGGACTTTGAGATTTGGACATTTTTTGAGTATTGTTCATCAGATGAGGTTACTTTTTAAAATAATGTTAATAACTTAGCTTTTCAAAGGCTGTGAAGTGGCTTATGATGTACAAGGCTATTTTTCAATAAGGCTGATAAAATAAAAACAGAAAATAAATACCACAAAAGAGGAATGTGGCATGGGTTCATACTTATGTACCCCAACATGTGTTTTGAGAATGAGTATTTAATTTAGCTTTAAGATTCCTGGCAGAACAGATAAAAGGGAAAACAAGAGGATATGTAATTCCTATCTCATAGACAAATACAACTACTCCCTAAAGACAAATGCATAATCTCTGGTCATAAATTAATAACAAAATGCATCATACAGGCCCCTTTAGAGATGGCATTGAACGATATAATAGACAATATTCCAAGATGGTGCAAATTAGGATTAATTCTTAGAAGTGGTACTACTTCTGCTATGTCACTTATATCTACAAAGTTAAGCAGCCTCTGAATTTCACATTAAATGAATTAAGAGTGCTGGGTCCATGCCTGTGTGATAACAAACAAGGTGAATTCCAGTGCTCAAGATTCTCAAGTCAAGCACTATACTGCAAGTTCATGGGAACATCTAAATAGATAATGTGTTTTAATACCTCTTTTATGACCCTGCAACACAGAGGCCTGAGATGCTGAAGCCTAGGCTGAGTTGGGTGAAGTATTTTTCTGGTATGTTTGATGGCACTGCAGCCATGGGAGTATCCAAACAATAGTTAAGAAGATTCTCAGTCTCAGACTCAGGGATGAGGTAAGATATTGGAGGAGAATTGAATACTTAAGTGAGGGGTTGGGACAATTAGGTGTGTGTGGGCATTAGAGTTCAGCTGTCAGATTTTGGAAAATTAGTCTGAGGTTTGATTTTATGCAGTTTCAACTAGGTGATGGGCCTGTTGGCCTAAAGGCAAGTTTGAACATTTTTGATCATCTGTGGCAATGAGTAATGGGATCACTTAGATGATAAAAATCTATAAAAATGTTTGAATGAATAGTTCTCTTTTATGTCACCATCAAACATTCACCCATAATCTCTTATGCCCTCCTGATCTTTGATTAGGATATAATGATCAGGGTGGTCCAAAATTTGGAGGCGGGGGAGAAGATGGACCAGTGGTTACATAATCAGTTCTCAGCTCATAAGTCAGAAATTGCCTGCACTGAGGGAGATGAAGGCAGCCATCAAAAACATGATTGATCTATTTACATTCTTTAATGTAAACACAGAGAAGAAGAAAATGTACTTTCAAAATAAGCCTTCTCTATAGATGAAGGAATGCTTCAATAAGGTGGTACTTAGAGGCAGGTGGTGGTATTGTTAGGGCTGACCCTTCTTTGTATTATTATTTGTTGATATAAATCAAAGATGCTTTCTGGGAGTCATAATGCTAGTTTAACCCATTGTCTATGTGGTATACATGGCTGAGCATGTTTTATATGGGATTAGATTTGTGACCCCCTATAATTCTACTGTGCCCACCCTCCCTTTAACAGTTTGTTTGAACTGTGATTGTCCAGCTAGCTAAGGTTAATGTTGTGCACTGAGGCTACGGCACTGTTCCCTCCTATGTGAAGATAATTAGTGTTTGAAACCCCCACTTCATTATTCTACCCTGAATAAAGGAAGTGTTTGTGCATCAGTTAGATTCAACTGTAGAAACACTTCCAAAGAATACTGTACAGTACCTTGAGGTGGAAAAACAATGATTTTTAAAACAAAACAGACTTGTCAAGAAATAAGCAACTCTGCAGTGTACTGATTTCATGCAAACCATGCATGATTTGTACATCTATTGGAGTTGGTTCCTTTGGAAACAATCTAATCAATGTGTAGGTTATTATAAGGTCCTGTTCTTAACAGCCAGTGAACCACTTTTACTGGTTGTACAGTAAGATAGTACACAATATGTATCCTCAAAAGATGTGCAACCCAGCCCTGACTGGTGTGGCTCAGTAGGTTGAGCATCGTCCCACAGAACGAAAGGTCACCAGTTCAGTTCCTGGTCAGGAAACATGCCTGGGTTGTGGTTGTGGTCCCCAGTCAGGGTGCATGCCAGAGACAACAGATCTTTCTCTCTCACATCGATGTTTCTCTCCCTCTCTTTCTTCCTCTCTTCCCCTCTCTCCAAAATCAATCAATTAATAAATCAATAAAATAATTTTAAAAATGTACATCCCAGATACAGAAGCCTAATGTACACCTATGAACAAAATAACACATTTATAAATTAGCTGCAAACGAAGGAAAAGTTTATACAGATTCAGGAATGCCAGACTTCATTTTGTAATGGACATATTATCATGTGAATGCATGATTCAAGCCAGATAAACTTAATAATTGCATAGATCACAATAATAATACATGTATGTATAGTGTGACAGCTCTATTCTGCAATATGTTTCAAGCTTTAAATTAGAATCAATCAACCTGGTAGAGCCACCACCAGGGAGATATATTTTGTAAACTATTTGCAGCTAGCAAACCCTTTTATACCCAAAGCATCATCAGGGATCAATTAGTATTTCTCTGTAGCCTTGAAATGTTGTGTGTGTGTGTGTGTGTGTGTGTGTATTTAAACCATGGAGTATAAATTTAAGTAAAAGGAACAATTAAGCTGTGTCACCCATAATTGACTAAAAATCACCCAAATG